CAGGGATGCATGGGGAGGGGTCAGGGCTACATGGGGAGGGGTCAGGGCTACACAGGGAGGGGTCAGGTCTGCACGGGGAGCATTCAGGGTTACACTCTTGAACTATTTAACATATTCACAGGCTTGTAAGTGTCTGGGCTAACCTTAAATTACTGGGTTACAAAGAGCAGCTGTTTCTAATGGCATGTTATGCTCCAAGTGATCTGAGGGTAAGATGGAGTCTGTGATCTTTGTATTCTCAAGTCATGTGCTATGATACATTGATGATATGTTTCTTAAGGGTAGAATGATACATTGTACTTGAAACATACAATTAGAGATGCCCACATCTCACGAATTAATTTTAAAAAGGGTATTCTGAACTGACCAAGACTGTGCCATTCCTGGTCTTTCTGTGCCATGGTTGGACTGGAAGTTGAGAGCTTATTCTCTTAACCTCCTTTCCAAGGTTATCCACCACAACTATCCCCCTTTATATTCAGTATGACTCCAGTTCTGGAGAATCTCCCCTAAAACTTCAATCTTGTGCATGTTTATTTGTTGCCATCTTTGGTCAAATGCCGCTTTAGTGTCAAGGAGAGTCACTCTCATCTCCTCTCTTGGGTTCAGCCTTCTTCCATGTCTGGACCAAGGTTGTAATGGGGTCAGGCACCCAGAACTCCTGGCAAAAACCAGAGCATCAGTGAGCAGGTTATTGCTGTGTAAGCGCAGCTTGGTAGCACTGTCCATAGTGCTGTTGATGGTCACATGTATACTCATGGGGCTGGATTGGATTTGTCCTGCTCTTTGTACACAGGACAAACCTAAGCAATTTTCCATATTGTCAGGAGATGCCAGTGTCATAGATGTTCTTCTGTACTATCACCTTTAGTTCTAAGGGCCTACAGCCTTTGCAGTAACCAATGTCTTCAGCCATTTCTTTACCTAGTTACATAGAATTAATCCAATCGACTGAAGGTAGACATGGGATGCAGGTAAAAGTAGATCTCTAAAGATGGGGTTAAGAATCAAACAATACAGGGAGATTGTTCGGCCCAGTCATTATGGGCTATCTCCTCAAACAAGCAATTCCCACTCCCTTGCTTTTCTCCCACAATCCCTACAAATTTTCCTTGACAAGTTCAATTCCCTTTTGGAAGTTAAAACTGCTTCCTTTCAGCTGGACATTCCAGACCTAGGCATCTCACTGCAGAAAATAGTCTCATCTGCACCCATCTTTTTTCCTATTGCCATTTGATTTAAGTCTGTATTGTTGGGTCACCTCCTGGGCAGTGTCCCACCTTGATTACTTGATCAAAGCCTCAGTTAATTTTGAATACCTGTTCTAAGTTTCCTCTTAACCTTCTTTGTCAATCCCCTTTAGCATCTTACATATTTCAATTAGATCTCCTCTCATTCTTCTAACTTCTGCTGAGTATGGGCCTAAACTGTTCAATCTCTCATCATAAGGCAAACAAAGAAACAATCCCACCCATTCCAATCTCACTGCTCCCACTTTCTCGGCATCACTCTAGTGAATCCTTTTCAAAGGGCTTAATGACTCTTCCACAGTGTGGTGTCCCAGAAAGGACCGAAGGCTCCAGTGAGGACTGTCAGTGTAAAGTTTACTACAACTTCCTCATTTACGTTGCTCTATTAATAAAGGAAAGGGCTCCTTATGTTTTTTTTTAACAGCTTAATCTTCAACCCTCCATCCTCTGAGCACACTTCCATGTCAGGAAGGTTGGAAGATTCTGCCCATGATCTCTGGTATTTGTACCCTCAATAACATCCCAGCTGGACCAGATGACTTTCCACGCTATCGAGGAGCAAGGATTGAATCATAGGGTCACGGAGACCTACAGCAGAGTAAATGACCCATCGAGTCTGCATCATCCAAAAACAACCACCTAAGTTTTGTAATCCCAATTTCCACGATTTGGCCCATAGCCCCGTATGCCTTGGCATCGCAAGTGCACATCTAATTGCTTCTTAAATGTTGAGGTTTCCGCTTCTACCACACTTACATGCAGAGAGTTCCAGATTCCCACCAGACTCTAGGTGAACAAAAAAATGTCGCTGCGTCATTGTACAGGGCCTTGATGAGACCACACCAGGAGCACTGTGTGCAGTTTTGCTCTCCTCATCTGAGGATTGATGTTCTGGCTATGGAGGGAGTGCAACAAAAGTTTACCAAACTGATTTGTGGGTTCATTCTGTCCTTCCCTGCACGTACATGCACACACCTGTCCATACATGTACAAACCTGCCCATACCTGTACACACCTGTCAATACCCGTACAAACCTGCTCATACCTGTACATATTTGTCTATATCTGTTAAAACCTGCCCATTTCTGTACACACCTGTCCATACCTGTACAAACCTTTCAACACCTGTACAAACCTTCCCATATCTGTACACACCTGTCCATACTTTTACACACCTTCCCATATCTGTACACACCTGTCCATACTTTTACACACCTTCCCATACCTGTACACACTTGCCCATACCTTGTACAAATATGTGCAACACCATTTCCTCTAATTTCTCTAGTAATGCATGAACCTCTGAAGTCAATGTGGTACAGAGAAAAGCTAAAGTCTTGACAAACATTTGGAAAGATAGGAGGTAGGAGCAGACTATTCAGCCCTTCAGCGTGCTCCAGCATTCAACATGGTCATCCATACCCTTTACTTTCTCCGCATACCCTTTGATTCCTTTAGTCCTAAAAATTAAATCTATCTGCTTCTTGGAAACATTCAATGCTTTGGCCTCAACAGCTTTCTCTGGCAGAGAATTCCACAGGCTCAACATCTCAGTCCTAAATAGCCTACTCCATATCCTTAGATTGTGACCCTGGTCCCCCCAGACATCAGGAATATCCTCCCTGCATTTACCCTGTCTAGTCCTGTTAGAATGTTAGGGGTTTCTATGAGATTCCCTGTGTTATTTTTCTAAATTCCAGTGAATATAGCCCTAATCAATCCAATCTCTCTTTGTGCATAGGTATGAGGCAGAAATGGGCCTTGATAATTCACCTCCTACTATCTGGTTAGCTAACACTGAACTATTAGGGAGATGAAAGATGTTCTTCCATATTGAGAGGCAGTACCACAGGGAGACCTAACAAGGAAGTTAAAGGAGTCTGTCAGGACAAGCCAGGGTTTACATTTGATATAGATGTAAATTAAGCGTCTCCCACCACCCTTAGCACTTAGATTCCGGAAAATAGGCCTAGGTGAAAGCAAAAATGCAATATATGTTTGAAAATCATCTAATCAAACCCAGGCAATATGGCTGGTGTTCCCCAGTTGTATTCATGCCAAAGCTTGTTGGTTCAACTGGATTTTACATAGACTCCAGAAAGGTCAATGCAGTGCATTATATCCAATTCCTCACCTGGAACATTGTACTGATAGAATCGGCAGTGCAGGATTATTTACCAAAACAGCTCTGCTCCACAAATACTGGGATATCCCATTAACACCGAGAACTAAAGATATATAGGCCTTGACATCCCAGTCTTTTCCTTTGTTGAGAGGTGCTACAGGAAGGATAGAAAGGGGGGCAAGAGAGGAGGGGGAGTAGTGTTTTTGATTAGGGATAACGTTATGGCTGTACTAAGGAAGGATATTCCTGGCAATATATCCAGGGAAGTTATTTGGATGGAACTGAGAAATAAGAAAGGGATGATCACCTTGCTGGGATTGTACTATAGACACCCCCAACAGTCAGCTGGAAATTGAGAAACAAATTTGTAGGGAGGTCTCAGTTATCTGTAAGAATAATAGGGTGATTTTGGTAGAGGATTTTAACTTTCCAAACATAGGCTAGGACTGCCATAGTGTTAAGGGCTTGGATAGGGAGGAATTTGTTAAGTGTGTACGAGAAAATTTCTGACTCAGTTCGTGGATGTACCTACTAGAGAAATTGCAAAACTTGACCTACTCTTGGGAAATAAGGCAGGGCAGGTGACTGAGGTGTCAGTGGGGGAGCACACTGGGGCCAGTGACCATAATTCTATTAGTTTTAAAATAGTGATGGAACAGGATAGACCGGATCTAAAAGCTAATGTTCCAAATTGGAGGAAGGCTAATTTTGATGGTATTGGACAAGAACTTTCAAAAGTTGATTGGGGGTGGATGTTCATGGGTGAAGGGATGGCTGGAAAATGGGAAGCCTTCAAAAATGAGATAACAAGAGTCCAAAGACAGTGTGCTCCTGTTGGTGTGAAGGACAAGGCTGGTAGGTGTAGGGAATGCTGGATG